ATTTTTTTATTCGTAAATTTATGGTAAATTCGTAATATATTTCTATCTTATTGGTATTTTTTCTTCGTATGTATGTTATACATCTTATGATAAACATTAAATTATCAATAATAATGAAATTTTATTTTCATGATTTCTTTTACAGACAATCCTGAACCTGGAATGGGACAGCAACAAGCTCTTCTTGGTGACGCTCCTGCAGGGTATGGACGTGGGGGTTATGGTGGAGGTAACAAATTGCTATTTTAATCAATATTGATTGGTTTTGAAGTCTGTGAGATTATCGCATGTTTATCTATCAAAAGCTAAATAAAAATTGGGCAAAGAGTTATTTTTATTGCTTTCCAATGGCCATGTCGCTTCTTATAAATACAAGAATGTAAGCTAACTTTCTAAAGTTGGAGTTGAGAAGTTACAGCATCAGTATGACAGCACCCAAGACTATTCTATTCTCACTCACTATTTATTTGAGAAGGACTATTCAAAATTAACTTGATTTCGATTGACAAAAGTTTTTTATTCAATTCTCGACTCTAGCTCAGAGAAAATTATATGATTATAGCAAAATCTTTGGCTTATGCAAATCATCTTCAAATATCTGTTGAGAATAATGATCAGTCACCTTTTGAAGCTTTTTGAGTTTATATTGGAAATTTTGAATTCCGATATCACCAATAAAAGCACAAAATTCAATCTCCTACTTTGTGGCGAGTTCACAGAAATGCGACTTTTGACTCTGACAGCAATATCAATTAAAACAGGCCACTCTCCACAACCCTATTCAAGATTTCTGCTGTTAAATTATCGTCGATACCAATCATTTACAGGTATGGGATCGGGAATGGTGCATGCTCCTCCCATGCGTGGTATGGCCCCAAGACCTCGACATCCTATGTCTCCTATGGGAGGCCTTGGATCTCGCGGAAGAGGAGGAATGATGCCTGGCGTCAGACCACAGAGACATGGAATTATGGGAGCACCACCTCCACAGCAACAGGTGTTTAAAACATTTTTATTTTATTCAATGATGTCTAATGTAGTGGTGTTTCGCGGAAGGCCACACAGGGCCGTTGATTGAAAAAAAAAAAGATTAGAAAAATAGGATGGGACACAATACCAGCCTGGGCTGTTATATGGCAGTTTCATTTTATTTCTCACTTGTCTCACACGATCACACATATGGAAATCATCTGGCATCTAACTGCTCCAAGAAAAATATACACGCACACAAAAAGAGATTTCTGATATAAATGACCGATATAAATTTATAACTAGGGCACAGGAAGGGTTATTTCTCAGCACAACTTGAAATAAGTGCCCATGGGCGGACTACAGACCAGGTGGCTTACCGAAAATGTCAGTATCAGTTTTCATTTAATTAAAAAATGAATCAAAAATGGAAATTCATTAGCATTTGTCATTTCATCGCATTTTTGGTCAAGCATATAGTGTCCACTGTGCATTATTTGCCACTAAATTACCTCCATCCCAACCAGCTGAATATTTTTTTATCTGTGGGCCACATAACCAATTTCAAACATCAAGCTTGGCCACGAAAAATTAAGCGTGGAAAGGCAACAGAAGAGAATGCGGATATCGTTCAGCTTTGCAGGTAATAAATGCACCTGGCAATGGCAAAAAGATTTAACGCAGCGAAAAAACATTATCGGTATATATTTTTCATCCATGTGAGCGTGCCTTTACAAACATAAACTGTCAAATTAGGATTTCATACTGGGTAGGGAAAAATCTGAGTGTTGACAAAAGCCACAGCCACACTAAATGGCTTGGCTTGGCCACCTGTTGCATACCCCTGGTTTAAAGTATTTCTTCATTGTTAATATAGATGCCTGACTACAATGATTATGGTGGTGAAGATTACGGACAAGGCATTAGCCAGAGTCCGGTTGTGATGGTCTATGGTTTGAAGCCCGAGAAGATGAATGGAGAAAAGCTATTCAACCTTTTATGTCTATATGGAAATGTGCTGAAGGTACTTGCATCAAATATACAGTAAATGTTATATCATACATCCCTCTAGGACGGTGGTACCCAAAGTTGATTGACCGGGGGCCAAAATGACCGTAAGGATATTCGCGGGCTGGGAAAGGGGAGCACTCGCAATGGGCTGATATCGGTACCGAAACGTATAATTAAGCTACGTAACAATTGACGGTTTCTAGAACGCAAAAAGATGAAGGCTTGACGTCTTTAAAAACTACCGGTATATCATTTAGGTTCGACAGGCCACATTAAATTGTTCTGCTGTTTGGGAACAAATACAGCTCTTCAACTGAATCCGTGGTCAATTGTGGGATCTGTTATTACGTTTGAATTCGATGCAACCATTCATGCTTCAAATTTTAAAAAAATTTTCTATCATTGTTTTATCATATTATTTTGAAGGTAAAATTCCTGAAAAGTAAACCTGGTACCGCAATGGTGCAAATGGGAGATCCAGCATCGGTTGATCGTGCAATCCAGAATCTTTCTGGAATAAGATTCTTCGGAGAAAAACTCACTCTTGGGTCAGTACTCAAGGAATACAGTTTTTGAATTCAATTGATTTTAATTGTGTTTTGAAAACATACATTTTTCGTTGAAAGTTTAAGAAATTATAATAATCTATTCTGAAAAATGGAACTGCTCAACTAGTTCTTTAAATTTCCTTTTTAAAGGCCTTCAAAACAGATGTTTCTGACAGATTCCGGACAAATTGGTGAACTGGATGACAAGACACCCAGTTTTGTTGATTTCTCAAATTCAAGAAATAACAGGTTTGTTGCCATCTCATTCTCTTTCCAGTCTGATAGCAATTCATTCATTTTATACTAGAAAACATTTCCTATAGCAACGAACTATCATTGCTCTAGTTTGGTCTCAAATCCCAGTGTTTTTATACGGCGAATATTCGTGCCGTTAGCTCTGAACAAAGCCCTGTACATTTAACCAATGATATTTGATAATCTGATATACTGTCAAACTGATGATCATTTCGAAGGACTAGATTCAGATCTTTCCGATTTGATTGGGGTGGGGAACATGGGATTTGAACCCAAACTGTGTAATTTACAATGCCAACACAGTAAAGTGTAACTTAATCATTGGGCCTCTCCAACATGCTACATCACTAACCGTTCTACTTTACCGCTGTTCAGATTTACAACAACTGAGCAAGCTGCCAAAAACCGAATTCAAAAACCTGCTCCTGTCTTGCATTATTTCAATGCACCCACAGATATGGATGAAGAAAAGACAAAACAAGTTAGATTTTATTCATTTGTGAACTTGTTATCATCAAGTTCAGTTTACGGTAGTCTCTGCTTATTTTTTGCAGTACCACTATTGGTTGGAATTAATTGCAATCTGAATTTATTTCTAAATGAGTGTTTGTGTGCCACACAGAATGTTATGAATTTTTATGAATGTAATTTGTAACGTTGCTTTATCAGGGGGAAATGTAATGGGTACAAACTGTGTAGAGATTTGTATGATCTACTTTTAGTAAAAGCGAAATATTTTAATTTCAATATTCTTATCGAATCTGTTTTCCTGACTTAGCTTTGTGAAGAACTGTCTGTGGCTCCACCAACAAGATTCACTCAATTCAAAACACGCAGTAAGTAGATTCTCGCAAGTCGCAACCGTTATTGAAAATATAATATATCTTTGTTTTCAATATATTAGTCTCACGACTAAGAATTGTGTAATCATTATCATTTTGCGAGTATATTTATTACAAGCATAGCTGGGGAGCTGGTTCGAAATCAAGGTGTCTTCAGAGTCACAGTATATGAAAACTGTGGGTCTAGTTTCGGGTTTGTTGTTGAATTTGTGACCACTACTACAAATTTTCAGCCCAAATGCAATTTTGTTGCAGCGGAACACTTAACTTCTAAATATATAAATTCAAGTTGAAAACTTTTAAATTAATAGTAGTAATTGATTAAAAAAAAACGTAAAATATCAAATTTTTTCATTTTTATTAGGTTTTAGCGAAATATAATGTTAAAATAATAAATTGATTGTTAGGAGCTGGAGCCACTAAAATTTCTGGTGGATATTAAAAATTATTCTCATTTGCGTCTATTAGATTGTATACTTTTCTCCATGTGTTGTAATCCTGAATAAAGTGAAAATTGAATCACAAAACTTTTCATTTCAACAGGTGAGAGAAGTTCATCGGGTTTGTTAGAATTCTCAGATCGCAGTGAAGCGATGGAATGCCTTGCAGTTCTGAATCATTACAAGTTAGAAAACCCAGGTAATTTTTAAAACTACTTTTTAACATCGATTTATGAAAATTTCTGGGCGTTTCACTGGCGTTCATAACAAGATACAGTTCACCCAAAGTAATTCTTAGTTCAAGCTCGATGAGTAAGTAGTCCAGTTATTCTAGAATTTATACCAGAATTCAGAGTGGTTATTATAAAATTTTCACAATATTCAACGCTGATATTTTACATTACTCTCACTCCACATTTCTCGTTATAGTTGGAGCTAGGGTACATTTCCACAGCCTGTATTTCGAACTACAACCACACAAAACTTGTTTTCCGTGAGTTTATCTGACATTTATGAAAAGTGCAATAACATAAATTAAAAAGTTGAGTCATTATATAACACATATTCTGTACACTAAAATTCAAAATCTAACATATGACAAAATGTATTTAAAACATTCAAGCAAGATATGCAATTCCTTTAATATTTTGAAACCGTTTTAGGTGGGCGCTATCCATACATATTGAAACTATGTTTCTCAACATCAAGCAGTTCACAAAATTATGGGCCGAATTACCAGCGTGAATGAACAAAGCAAGCAAGAACAGTAATTGTCATTAATGTACATATTTTGTGGCAAGTAGCGTTGGACAATAAGTTTATGAATAATAAAGAGAAGTGACAAATGACAATAAGAACATTGCTAAAAAAGATGAATTGATAATAAAATTAATTCTTCATTGGATTATGGTCGATATCTGTATTAGTATGAAAATCCATAAACATCACTGGGTTTCTTTGAGAAAAATGCATCAAAAATATCATTTACGCTTCTCTGTGTTTCATAGTGTTGTTGATATCGTTGTTGGCCATAGTTTTTCCATTGTTCTGATTTTTTGTAATCTGGCCCTGAAATTCCATACATTTGTGTTTTTTATGTTAAGTCGCAATCAAATTTATTTAGGACAGTAATGATAATAAAAATTGTGTCGAATATCTCAAATTTTCAACTGGATCTAGGATGATTGTGATCTTTCCTCTATTGTATTTTTGTAGTGCTTTTTTTTAACAGGGATGATTTGGTTGTTAACAAGCAATAAACAGTTTTAATGCAAAAAATGGAATGTGCATTCATACATTCAGTAGATCAGGCAAAAGTTCTCATGTTCTGCTTGAAATCTTCTACCTTTCTAGATAACCTTGCCTGGCGTTTTCTCAGCATAGTAAGATCATTTTGCATGTCTCTCAATTGACTGCTCAATCTCGCGTTAGCTGGGAAAGTAAGGTTGAAAATTGGAAAATGTGAAGTGCCAGTTCTATCTGGCTATGTGACAGGCGAATTTTTAATTTATGCAAATTGATAGTTTGAGAAATCTTAGAGAACTAGCACTAAATGTATATTCCGGTTATTACAAACCTTCATGCATGTTTCTTGTCATTCCAAAAGCATTCTTCATTAATTCATCCATATCTTTTATGATATTACCGAACATTGTTTCACCTTGAAATAGATTTGGAACTCTTCTCCTCCACTCCTCTCGATCCTTAGAATAGAGGGTTTGTTAAGTGTTGCTGGGTTATATATTGGCTCACAGCTGACAAGAAACCGCAATGTTTGATGTAATTTGTTTCAAATGGTTTGGTGGTATATTTTTTGAATGGTTTCTGATTTTGAATTTGAGGCATGATAAACACAATCTCCATCCCATACCAAATCTATTGGGACCATCTGTAGATCTCAATATAACTTCTAATAACTTTAAATGTGTCATGTTGCGGACACAATTTTATTAAAAGCACATACTGGTTGCCTCTACTAACTTCAAAAAAGTCTTTGAATAATCCCTCATGGCTTCCGGTTGTAAAGTCTGAGAAGAAACTGAAGTTTGATGGATATTTGTGATGTGCTCTTGCTCTTCTTTCACTCTGTTTTCGAATATAGTCTTCTTGCTCTTTTGCCATTCTTCTTACTGGAATTGGTAGAATGAGGAGAAATAGGAAAAAAGAACGCTAAGTTGCACATGTATAATAAAAAATATATCTCTGTTACTTTTTCATCAATAGGAATTGGAAAATAGAAAACTCTTTTAAAACAGGCTTATTTGATATGAAATGTCAGCCTTTCGCATTGTGGGTAAAAATATTTAATATCCTCCTCTTCATTAATTTTTTTAGTTGAAGCAGGTAAGGTAATAACAATTGTTGGATAAGTTAAAATTTACGATGAGAATACTTTTTTCATCATGTCTTCTTTGATTCATTGTTTCATCATATTCTTTCTTTTGTCTTGCTTCTTCATCATAATCATACCGTTTTGTTCCTGAAATAAATAAATTTGGTAAACTTGATTCACTTAACGACACAGCAGACTCATTCGCCACAAACACAATTTAAAGTTACCTTTCTGTTTTGATATGAAACTATTGGCATGTGTTTGGAATTGGCTTTTTGACTATAAAATATGCTTGTAAATAACATTTTGAGCCTTCCTTTTTTTTAATTGTGGAGTAAAAATTTCAGTCCGCAATATACCATGTATCAGCTGGTGTAATCATATTGACTTGAAACAAAAGTTTTAACGAACCGTCACATAAAACATGATAAGCCTCCGATATTTCTTTGAATTTCTTTTCTGAAAGATCTTTCTCATTTGGATTTTTATCAGGATGCCATTTCTTTGCTAAATTTTTGTACCTAAATTCATAGAAAATGATTGATAGATCGCTGTTAGTTCGTACAAACAATTCATTGAGATAAATATATTCAAATGAAATATTATAGGGCCCAGACAATGCGATGTTTTCTCATGATGCAATGAAAAATAATTTGAACAGAAACAACAAAGCATAAGGGTCCAAGTTGTTCGACTTTCCTCATACTAATACAGTAATATGTGATTAAGAATTTACTATAATCAAAAATGACTATTCATTACTTTTTACAAACTATATTGCAGTCAATGATTTTGTTCCGTATATATTTTCAGAATGTGGCATTTCATATGCTAGAAAACTACTTGCATCGCCATACGTAATTAATTTTACAGCAAAAGATTTTAAACGACAGAATGATGTCAATCAACTATTCCTCAAATAAGCATATTTATTCAGCATAGAAATCTCGTCTTGTATTTAGTTGCTAGCTAGAGCCTACCTACCGTAAAAGATGCGAAACCTACAATTCATCTCACTTCTGCATCTGGTATCGAGCTAGCTATTTTTAAATAATAACTTACGCTTTTTTGATTTCATCCATTGATGCATTTTCAGAGACGCCCAGTGTGCGGTAATAATTTTTGTTGTATACCATGATTGCAGGAAGAGGAAGTCTTTTCAATGAATTTGCCTACAGCAACAAGTTTCGTAACCAATTGACTTAACAACTAGTTAGATAACGAGGTAGGCTGAAAAGGTTAACTAAAAAAGTTATCACGTACGAGGTATTAACGTCATGTTTCTATGGTTACGACACACGGCATTTAGTGACACCTTGTGAAAAACTTTTCAATCAATCAATCAGCTTTTACATACACGAAATGGATCGTTATGTTATTATGTTGTTGGTATTTTTTTTCTTGTTGTTGTGAAAAAGTCGCTTTTCACTTTAACTACAGGCCCGATCGCTTTGAAATTTTCATTGATGAAAGATGATTGTCGTCACTAGAAGGCTGTGGATGTTTCCCCGTGCATCGATTTGCTTGTTTATTTCCGTAACATTTACAAATAAGCAATAAGTTACCAATGACGTAACAATCGTAATTTATGCCGCCGACACCAGTGGCGTAGGGGGTGGTTTTGCGGGTCGAAACCCCCCTCCCCCCTTTTTGAAATGTGAAAAAAAAATCATTTTTCTGCAACATAGATAGCAATTTTCCGTAGCTTGAAATGCTTTTTAGACCCCCCCCCCCCAAAGACTACTAAAAATACGCGTATTCCAGCGTTCGATCGGCCCGCTAGCTGTTTCAATCTAACTTGGCAGAAAAAAATTCAGAACCCCCCTCATTTGAAAATTGCTGGCTACGCCCCTGACTCAGACTACGAGAAAAGGTTATTTATATAATTGCCCCTCATCAATTATTCACTTTTCGACATAGCTATTCCCTTGAATATGCTAATTTACACTGTAATTATCATTCGAATGGGAAGTTAGAATACTACCAAACTATACGGTTACAATATTAATAAGGCCTTCCGCAAAGACATGCGGCCCATGGGCCATGAATCACAATTCTATCACTGCCTTCCCCAACACTCGACATAACCAATATCACCAGTTGCACATCACACTGTCAACAATCCCCATTGTCCGTTTGACGACTTTGTCTATGTCCTCTTCGCCTTATAACCTCCACAGATATCGCGTTACAATACAATGGCGGCTCTTCATTCCAAGTAGATGTGTCAGTGAACAATACCTACATTCCAACATGTAGAAGTTGTTTATTGTAGCTTTTCAGAGTCCACAAGCATGGCAATACCATGATAAACTGCTTTCTATGAGTGTTAAGTGTACCCAAGATAAGGTAACAGTAGCACAGAAAAAAGTGCCATCAACAATCAAGCAAGATATGGTATGATTTTTATTAGACACAAATAACAAAAAAATAGAGTAGCAAAAAAAGAATACAGATATTATAGTTGACCAATTCTATCAGAAATCATCAGTTTAATCACAAACAACTGGAAGATCATAATGTCACACAAGGTAAAGGTGAGGAGACAGATATATTTTGGAATATACACTATTACACTTGCATCCAAACTGAAAAAATATGGTTTTAAAACTACTTGAAGATACACATTTCAATCGTATTTTTCACAAGACGCAACACACATTGATACGTTTTACTATTGATAGCAAAATATCATGTAAACAAAAATATTGTGGCCAAATGACATAGTAGCACCAGCTGATAATAAATTAAATATAACATTCATTGACTTGAATTTTTCTTTTTACTTTCAGATCTCAGTTCCAGTTGGCAGTTTTCGATAAGTAATCTTAATTCCTGCATTACTTCACCCTTGTGGCTGTGTGTAATTTGTAGTACCTTCAAAGCCTAAAAATATTTATTACAAAACAATTTGAAGGTGGACCTATCAATAGCATTGTCGGCTTGTTCTTGTTAACACTGCTGTTAGATTTCCAGTACATAATCAAAGATGTACGATCATACTAAGAGCTACACTTTTAGAATTTTCATATATTCTCCTCTATCTAGCCAAATTTTGCTGTTTTTAAAAAAATAGTGCCACCAGGTTTTTGTAGTAGTTCTGAGTGTTATTTGTCAACAAAGGTGGATCAAATAACTTGAATGAAGGTCGTTTCGTCTCCAAACGTGTTTTGTTAGGTTTGACTACAACTAATTTTAAAAATTTATTAATTTTACGCAATTAACATCATTTCATCAAAAAGACTTAACTCAACGACTCTGGGAGCTATGAATCGTAGATTTGTCTTGTACTACATTAGGTAGTACAACTTTGCAGCATTCCTGACATGAGAAGCTGGACATTGTGCACAATGCAAGACACATATGGGTATACACAATATAGCAAAGTGCGATCTGGTGGACTCTATGCTTCCACTGAGATTGTGAGACTCCAGTCCTAATCCTGTTAACCTTAGTGAACCAATCAACACTTGGTCAAAGTTACTAACTACAGGCATACCCCTGGAACCTAAATTTAGGTTCCTTACATTAGGGTTGCCATACCGTCAGGAAAATTTCAGACATGTCCGGAATTTAGGGTTAAATTTTGCGTCCGGGAAGAATTTAAAAAATGCTTAAATGTCCGGAATCCGGAATTTTACTGCATCTGCAATCGTACTGTGCACACTGCTAATAAAGAACATTGTTATTTTGTACCCTGCGCATATTTTTTACTACGAGGTCATGAAAATAGTCATGAACTGTCTGGAATTTTGCTTTTTCAAATATGGTGACCCTACCTTACATGGCACACACAAATTTCTCTCTAGGAGTTATTGTATTACCGTACATACCTCAACCAGCATACGAATTGCTTCCCCATTTCTTTTTGTGTACAAAAGTATTTTACCAAGTTTCATCATTTGCAAACCAGTTAGTGGATTAACATCTTGAAGATATGATCTATTTAATAAAAGTAAGATAAAATTCAATTTTATCTTAAGGATTACTGTGAGAACACAAAGACAATCGAAAAAATATGATGTTTTTAGCATGAGTAATAAAAGGGTTAGATATAGCCAAATACAGACAGACAAACAAGTTATCACACATGGAAAACACAGTACTTTTATTAAACACAAATTGGCCATGTGGATTGTTTTGCCAATTCATTGTTGTTACTTGTTAGTCTTGTGCTTCTATTGCTTTTTGGGGAGATTTTTTTGGTGCAGAATAAAAATGCTTTTCCTTATTTGACCAATCTATCTCAAATTTTCAGAACTTAAATTTGGAAGCAACATCTTGACAACTATTACTTTATTTTTTTTCAAATCTCCTTATCTTATGAGATCTAGTATTTTTCCCGAATTCAACTGTTTTATTTCAATTCACGGGCTTAATATTGGCTGCATCATTCATAAGAATATATTATTATGATATTTGTGGAAGAAAAAAAAGTTATTAAAAATAAGATTCAGCTGACAATCAAAAGAACATATTAGGGTCATACCTGTATGCTTTTAGTGCCATAGCACCATGGTGGAATGCTTCATCAAACTTCTGTAATTGTATGCAAGCGTCCATCGAAAAATCATGGATCTGAAGCAATTTTGAATAAGAGAATAAAACAAGCACATTATTAAAGCACAACTTTGTGATATTCAACAGTTTTTAAAATCCAATATTGGTTACTGTGTACTTTGTTCGGTGCTCCAGAAGTATGTGTACCAATACGGAGGTAACCAATTTTGTTTGCCTACTCACATCGAGTTGTGTAAAGGGACTGAATCCTATGGGCAGGGGGTATATTCACTTGGCTAACACAGACAGTCCCCGAACCAAAATGAGGAAAATCTGAATGAAATTATGGCCTAACCCTAACCTGGTACACACACTACGGGAGTACCTTTGTTCTTTGTATCACCTAAAATAAAAACTACAAATTTCACTCTTCAACCGTCACACAATATGAGGTCACCACATCTATACTACGTAAAAATAAAGAAATCTTACCCTTGCCATATATACATTTTCAAGGGGAAGGACCTGTCTCGCAATGAATCCCGATGTTAGGTCTCTTATCTCTCCATAATCACCTGCTTTTCGTGCTTTGTCAAGATCTTCTAAAAACCTTTTTACCGCTGTTATTTTGGGGGAATTTATTGACAGTATTTCATTGTTGAAGTCACTCAACATATTCCCATCCTATGAAAAATATCAAAAGTAATATATTATGTTACATGATCAATTGGAATGTGTTTAAAAAGGCGCTCACATGGGTAAACCACATGTTTTTTTGCTCTTGTTGCTGAGGTTAATCTTCCGCCATTTGAAAAGTTTTGTATGGCCCAGGCCGCCCAGCTGGATGTCTTAAATTGGTCCCATGGCCCACCGGCAAAAAATGTTGCACACCCCTGGATTGCTGCTACAATTGAAGCCAGAAATCCAACATAAAATATGAATGTTAGCCAAGAATAACTGATTAGTGATTGTGGAAAATGACGTCACATGATGATTTTCAAGTCTAAGTTCTGAGATCAGGTATTGTTGGTATATCCCGGGGATAAGTGAATGTAAGGGAATAAGAGATACTATTGAATAAATAAACAATACTCACATGCATTCTGTTACTACATGCAGGGCATTTACATTTAAATCTATAAATATTTTGAAGTTCGTCTTGTCTGTCATGACTTGGTGCCAGTTGTTCAATGTATGATATTGTGAGCTGATAAAAAAAAAATTGGAAAACTATTATAACTAGAGAAAGTAAAAAGTAGCAAAGGTTGGAACATGTCAACATACAGTTGCAGTCATACAAGTCTTGTTGATTAGAGAGAAGGGCTATCTGGGAGTTATTTAATGATACCTAGGCCATAACAGAGTGACCCAAATAAACAGAACCCATCAATTTCTTAATTACGGTATTTTCACGAAAAAAAGTTTCTAGGACGATTTGCACAAAATTTATGTCCTCTCTAGAATATTATGTTTCACATGACCAGGGTTCATGTTTTTTTTAGGGTGGAAGAAAGTCACTCTGTATGACAAAGGCACAGGACAAGTTATGAGATTATATATGTGATAAAAACAATCTTTGCAGATATATTTCTGTTTGATGTAATAACAGATTAAATTCTCACCTCTTCACCTTCTTTCAAATCTCGCAACGTTCGTATATTCAATTGTAATCGATCAAATACGGCAATACAGTTTGGAACGCAACTGTGATTTATTAGACTGCAACTGTAAAATGAAAGAATGAAGTCATAAAGTTTGTGAAATTGAAATACAAAGTGGTCAACTGAGGTACAAATTTCTATCCAGAATTTTATAAAATCATATGAATTTCTGAAAAATAGAGCAGCAGAAAACGGCACTATCAATATAAAATCGGCATATGAATTTTGTGTCAATAACAGAAAAATATACCTCAAATATATTCCTGTGCCAATATCGGACTGAAGTTCTTCATCACAAATAGCAAAACTGTTATTTTTCAACTGAAATATAAAGAAGAATTTTTTAATCATCAAGAACTTCCTTTCAAAGTAGAAGTATTACCTAGTTATTTAAACATTGGTGGAACCTTAAAATCAAATCCGCCCAATAGCGCTTGCAGAAGGGGGCTATTCGAATTGCGATTGGGACCATATTATATTCATCCCTATTTTTAATTACCCAAATCCAACTGAAAGTGAAAAAAGTCATGTTCCGGAACAGAAGAAGTTTATTATTTCATATCTACAGCATTTTGCTCTCCAATATTGGTTCTCAAAGCAGTCAGTTTCATACACCTACTTCTCAGTCAAAAACAGTCAATCTGCGTTGCATTATTTATTTGTAAATAAAAAGGATATATGTACAAAGTGCTGTTTAAATCTGTTTGAAAAATTCCATTCCTAGCCGTTTATATCTGTTAATAAATTCTGTTGAAAAAATTTATAAAAGCAAACCTTTGCGCAAAGTTCTAAAACCGCTTTAATATCTGGAACTTGAAGAGGTAATGTTCCAAGACCCCAATATGAATGTAAGATTACAACAAATTGCCCAAGTGTTTCCTTTTGGCCTTCAGTGAGTCGGTCATAATCTGTAACAAGAGAGTGAGTATATCATGAGTGTTAATAGTAAGTTTATAGTGCAGAAGTACAAAAAAGAGATAGACATGAAATATTGATAGTCAGAGCATAAAAAGTGTATGAACTTCTGTTTTATTTCTCATTTATTTTGATAAGAATACAAGCTAATTTGTTGAAGATCAACTTTTATGTTTGAACAATCTCATCATTGAATATGCTGGAAAAAACAAACAAAACTTACTAGATTCAAGGTCCATTATTGAAACCAGATCTTCTGTTTTATTGTCATCTAACGAGTTTTCCTGATAACACAATATCAAAATAACTATTCAATTTATAATATAAAAAATTGGATAAGGTATGCCTTAACCAGCAAGAACCTGGTGCTTTTTTGAAACAAACATATAGATAACTTCATGAAGATATAAATAAATAAGATGAAGGCTTATACATTGTGCATGCGCTCATAGTATGCATGCTCATATTCACATATACTGGATATTAGGACATTCCTATCATGAAATTAATCTGCTTTTCCACAATGATTAATTATATTATTACTGAATTAAAAATGTTAAATTTGATAAAACATATAGTGGATAATATTTTTATGAGGTGAAATTGATAAACCAAAAAGAAATTGTTATAAATATTATTAAAACTCACCAATTTCCAAAGTACTCTCCCCAATAAAATGACAAAATCAGGAGGAACTTTAGGAGATATTTGTTTCAAGGCTGCACATTCTTGTTTATGCTGTGACCATGCTCCTTTCTAAAAGATAAGAATATTAAATATTGCAAATTATAATTTGCCAGATTCATTTATTACAGGATAACAACTAATATTTGCACATGGTAAGTGAATAACTATGTCGCATCAACATTTCTTAATCTGTTTATATATATATATATTACTTTCTTACTCCTACACTATATTAATAAGCCATTTATAAGTGATAATACTGAAACAAACCTGACAGTTTTTGTCACAATATCTCATAAATTTACAACCGGAACATCGAAGCAAAGTCTCTTGTCTGCAAAGAAGTAACAAATTAAAACAAGCTCAAATTGTAGAAATAGCCTATACCCATTATCATGTATTACAGAGTTACTGACAGGCAGACAGGTTAGAGTCAGTGCTTGCTGACTTGATGGCATTGAGAAAATATAAATCGAATCATTTACATGCCTGCATAGGTACATACAGACATACTTACTTTCTCTGGCTATAGGCTATTCAACCAATTTATCCAGCTATTCAGTTAGGATAAATTACTGAATTATGACATTGTCAGACTTATACCGGTATATGTTGCATTTTCAATTAGAAGACACCCACTTTTGAAAACAATGATCACATCGAATTCCTTTCTGTTCGTTAGCCAGTAGGTACACAAAAGGTTCTGAGCTCATCAATACAGTTCCCCTTCTAATTGACGAGGTGCATCTTAACCCTCGTCCTTTATCGTTGGAGACAAATATTTCCAGCATAATTTTGTTTCTACAATGTACCGATGAACAAACTGTTTCGCCGTGTGTTGAAGCGCTGTAAGATTCATAAAATAGAATAAAACCTCACGTATCTGCTATATGGTTATATGGACAACAATCTAACAATAAATAGCGCGAAGACACATTGCCAGTCGTGCTAAAACGAGTGCGATTATTAGCGGGTATTTGCGAATAGCGCGAAAACTGATTATCGCGAAAATTCAACGACGTCTTTTTTTGCAGGTTTTTTGTAAAATGTTTATTGAAATATTCTATTTGACATTTAAAACATTTTTGCCAAATATTGCAATATGAAACAATATTAATACCAATAAACCTCGTCGAAAAACACATTCTACAAACATAGGGGCAAAGGTTAAAGGGTAAACATCAATCATAATGTCCGAACGTGCTCTCAACATGGTTATTTTAAAGCCAACAACGGGTATGCATTCAAGTGAAACTATGTTTCCAGTTAATGTGGGCACGTCTGTAGTAAAGCAGGGAATGGGGACCTCGAAGCAATCGCCGAGATGAAAAATAACAAAATGCAGAAATGAGAGCGGGTGAATTGGATGTCTGCGGAAATAAAGTATGTTTTCAGAATGCCGAAATAAATTGGTATATATAAATATTGTACACTTCGTTAAGCTTTTTTCCTCATCCTGAATACGACTTCGAAGTTTTCTTTCCTCTCCCTCTGGATAAATATGTAAATTCTATCCTACTCCAATTCAAAAATCAGTCTTGTGAATACATGCATTGCAAAATGTACATGCCCTATAAACAATGGTTTAAACTCACCATACTGCCATATCTTTTTACATGCTCAAGTCAGACACAAGACATTCGTGAAGCACTTTGATCAAATTCACTCATAAAATAGCAAATTTATATTGAGATATTACTACAATCCCAATTGCTGAATCATGTTGGAAGCCTTTATTAATCTAATAAAATCGATTGTTATAAAATTTAGTTTGAGAAATGAACTCGTGACTACTCATATTATAATGATTTTCTGGTGTTTACAGAATATTGTAAACTTGTAGTTTTTTGTATTGTTATGGATAAACCTGGTTCAAAGCGACCCAGTGATACAGAAGCAACAAGTGTTGTGGCCAAGATAGCAAGACCATTCGGAAAAGACGGTCAATCTAAGAGACTTATTGTGGTTTTAGAAAAAGCATCACTAGAGACTGTAAAAAATGGAAAAACATTTGAACTACTGAATTGTGACAAGCATAAAGGTTTGCTGAAGAAACACAACAGGGATTTAGGTTCCTGCCGACCAGATATCACTCATCAGTGCCTCATGATGCTCATGGATAGCCCATTGAATAGGGCTGGATTGCTTCAAGTATATATTCACACAACAAACAATATTTTAATAGAAGTGCATCCGCAGACCAGAATCCCACGAACTTTTGACAGATTCTGTGGACTTATGGTGCAGTTACTTCATAAACTAAGCGTGAGAGCTGCTGATGCCAATCTGAAACTCATGAAAGTAATCAAAAACCCTGTAACAGACTACTTTCCTCCTGGTTGCAAGAGGATGTGCATGTCTTTTGGAGCCACAGATGTTGTACATCCAAAAACACTTGCACCACCAAATGAGGCAGTCGCATGTGTGATTGGAGCAATGGCTCATGGGTCTGTAGATGTTGACTACACTGAAAAATCTTACTCAATCAGCAATTATCCTCTTTCTGCGGCCCTAACTTGCACCAAATTATGCAGTGGGTTCGAAGAAAAGTGGGGGATCATTTGACATGCAACAATCATATAATAAAATAAATAACAAGCTTCTGGTATGTTTATTGATAAACCATTAAAAAACAGATCTGTTATTAGGTTGAAATAAAACGGTGTTGCCAGGTTTGAATAACTTCTTATAATTATAAAAATGTGTTAATTTTGGTTAACAGAAACATAACAGCAACATAAGATGCATGCATCTATAGATATATCTGCTTGAATACGAGACCTATTTGACATTCTAATAATATGTAGTAGTAAGCGCATCTCATGTTGAAACTGTGGAACATTTAATATCACAAATTGCTATAAGAATACCAAAAAGTCAGTTTATTAACCAATAATGATCTAATTATCTTTAAAAGGATGATAGCTTGTGACCAATCTACTGATCCAGAATATTTTGATGGTCATAAAAACTTTGGAATCTTCAAAGATCTGTAGTTGGACTTCTTACAGTCCTTTTGTCAAGAGTTTACAAGATTGTTCTGGGCAAAACGAATCACCTACGCCTACGCTTTTTACGATCTTGGCGTTTTGTAGGCTTTTGAATCCTACCATTTGTTACAGGGTGTTTTCTCTTTACAATCAGGTTATTGTCTACAATGTTTTGCAATATTCCCCTTTCAGCCAGCATGGAAAGAAACATTCTTATAAAAGGGTCGTAATTATGAGTTCTCCGAGCAGCATCAATTTTGTATTTCTCTATTTTATCATGCTCTTCTTGTAGAGATAATCGACAAGATCTAATATTCGTTTCAAGGTTAAGCAATATGCGCTGAACATCCCTTATTGAGACGGAACTTAGAGATTTGTTTTCATTTTCCCCAACCTCCCTTCCAGATATATCCATCTGCAAGAGCTTTCTGTCCATGATAAGTGCTTGAATATCTGATAATGACTTGTATTTCATAATTCTAACCTCTTTCAACTGTTCAGAATTGCTTCCCATAATCTTTTTGTATTCTTTTGGTGAAGGAGGTTTTTTCTTTACAGGGGAATCGAATTCCGAAGCAGTATCTGTACTTTCTGATGGTGAATTAGGAAGTTTATCTAAACATGCTTTGTCAGATGTTTTAGAAGTTTTGCATGATTCTGCCACATTTTCTCTTGTATCGTGCAATATATCTAACAACTCCTTATGTTCTTTATCATCCAACTTGAGATTGGGTATCACATCCTCTATTGCACTACTCAAAATCTTGTGATGATCAGTCAATAATTCTAATTTTGAAACATATTGGTCAGTTAATGATGGAACGACTGCCATCAAATTGTATCTGATATCATGGCATTGTTCTCCCCCAGTTGCCATACTTATACGATCATTAATTACTCTTCTTGCCATGTCATGCCACTCTTCGTCTTCCGACAATGGGCCATGATCTATTGGATATGGTTTTAACCCATCCAGTTCAAATAAATGATCGTGCAAAGGTAGGTAGCAAGTATAATGAAATGCTTCAAGTGTACGAGCAGATGGTGTTATTCCATTGGATTTATCACTTGTACTTTCTGACAATGGATTTGGTTCTGGGTGTGCATGCTTGTTATGTGCACAATACAATTCTGGCATATTCTCGATAGCAAATCCTTTTGTTTCTGGGTCATATGATTTACAGGTTTCCTGCAAAATGAATAACAAAATCAGAAAGCTGATATATATATATATTTATAACATATCCATGCTAGGAAATCAACCAGACATAGTATGCTTGCATACACTCTCTTAGTAAGTCAGATATCAAAGTGAACTTCACTACTATAATTAACTATACCTTTAAGCGTGTTATGACATCTCCCAGTTGAATATCTTCACAGTTTAATAGTATGCTCAATAATGCATGTGTTGCACAAGAATTGGGTATCAGTTGATGAGCAAAAAACATTCCGTTAACAGTTTCTTCATCCCTGCAAAATGGCTCATCTTGGCTAATTTGAACCTTTCGACGATATCTCCCAACTTCACTCCATTTGAATAGAAAAATAAATCCATAAACTTTATTTGGAATTTGCCTCTGAAGATCATATATTTCTTCCACTTGTACACCCTTAACCCCAAAGTCTTTGATAAGAAGCGTGAACAATCCAGGATCACTTTCAAGCTCTTTCCATACACCAAATGGTCGTTTATGATCCATGCATACACTTTTATAATGCTATAAACTTTAATTTTTGTGAAATAAAAAATTGTTACCGTATTCGATGCTTGTATTTTGGTTGGCAAAATAAATATCTCTCTCTATGTTTTAGCCATCCGTAAAATGCTTTGATGAACTTCACTATCACATCACAGAATACGCAAAACAAATCTGATTAGTATGTCAGGGCAACGACTGGTCAGAGCCATTATATAATGGCTCTTAGTATGTAGCAGAGAAATGCATTCGCTTTATCAAGTTACGGAAGGTTGGGATTATGAGCAAGGCTGTAAACGAATTCAGTTGAAAGGCTTTGAAGGGACTTAGTAGAGGATGGGGAAGGGAGCTTTGTGCATGGGGCGGGCTGGATGACAGCGGTTTTGGTAATACCTATTTTTTTCTGTAGCTGCATTTATAAACGAATGGAAAACTGTGTGACCCAATAGCTTGCTTGTTATCTTATATTTCATCAAAATCAGCAGAAATGCTACGTGTGCACAGTGGTGATATTCAGCCGGTTCGCACCGGTTCTATAAAACCGCCTCGGATTTTTATGAGATGAGCGAACCGGTTAGCATTACTGGATATTGTCAATGGATTTTTGCATCTTATTTGACTGTATTAGTAGCCTATATATTTACGATTTGACACACCGATTTTTGAGATCAAATAGCTCACGAGTTTTTTTTTCAAAATGTGAAATGATCAAGTTCGCCCGTAACAGTTATACATTGTGTTAAGTAGATCATACACCTCCAGGTTTTTAAGTACATTATCAACGAGTATATAATATAAACAGCAATATAGACAATCCTCAAAAATGTTGATGCTAATCTTGACATAATGATGCTTTCTCAACCATTATTTAAAAAAATACGACTTTTTGTAACAGAACCGGCTGAAAATCATGAATTTTGTGATGGAACAAAAATTTCGATCCCACCACTGCGTGTGCTCCCGGCGTGGTATCAGAATGAATAGAAAGGTAGGCCTACTATGAGTATAAAAATAAGATAATAACATATATTTGCGTAGCAAAAAAGCACACATGTCACATAAAAAACCTGTACATACCGAATCATGTACAAACACAACGAACTCTAGGGAGAATTTTGCTACTGTTTAGTTTCCAATACAGGATTGCAAATGAGGCATCAAAAAAGGTTTTGCAACACGTAGCTCTGCAGCTGCTCACAGCCGATTTATTTGTTTCTTTTTAGCTTAGACTAGAAGTAACTGGTTGAAAATTTGGACAGCAGTTTAATTGCTCGATTACTTAGCGATGGGTACCCATCATCAATAGAGCTCAAGAATTGTGACAATGATTATTTTATAGCTCTGTACTGTAAAGTACAGGTTTCATCGGGTTCCTCATATCGATCACTCTGCAGTTGATCGCTCAAAACAAACAAAATGAATGTATATTACAATGATAAAGTCGTTGCTATCTTGGCACCTGACTCAAAATCCTGCTGTGCATCACCCGGGAGCGTCTCGTTACCACTTCCAGGTCGCAAATCGCAACAAGTTTATATCTCGCTGGGTGTCAAGGTGAAGCTCTGTAATACTGTTCTTGACAGTTTTCTGATTTATAAAAAAACAATATTCATGACCATTTATTTGGATAATATTAATCAAGAAAAGCATGCTGAACGGAAAAAGCACGCATTCTGATTTCAGGTTTCTGAATCTTGCGAGATTGACGAAGCGCTTTCGCGATCAATTGGAATCTAAAAAGCGAAATGTGTGAGTACTCGGCCAGTGGCGTATCTGGGGTGTGGCAGATGAGCGCTGTTTGGAAAGGGCGCAAAAACGGCAAAGTGTTTCAATAGTAAATTGTTTTAATAAAAAAAGGTTAAATTGGTAATAATTGAAACTCGTATTTTAATGTAAATAATAACGTACAAGTATCTCAATTCAACAACAGTCGTTAAAAATTATTAGTAAACGATCAAGGGGGCGCATTTTTAAAATTTGCCATGGACAGCATATTAAGTAGATACGCCACTGTACTCGGCGCCAAGACGTCACCGGGCCATTATACCGCACTTATCAAACAGCAATGTGACGGCGGAAGAGAAAATGCGTAATAAACCAACGTAACTTCGTCTTATTAATCAAGAAAAGCATGCAGAACAGAAAAAGCAAGCATGCTGATTTTCATTTTCTGAATCTTGCGAGACTTGACGGAGCGTTTTCGCGGTGAATAGGAACCAAAAGAGCGAAAGGTGTGATTACTCGGCGCCAGGACGTCGCCGGGCCATTAATAAACAGCAATATGAAGGCCGAAGATAAATTGCGTAATGAACAAACCTAACTTCGGCTTAGGTAAAGCGATTGAGACGGCAGACGGATCCGCAAAACACTTCCCGGACCGGCGGTTGGAAACCACTGGGTTACGGCTTCCTCTATCAACCCTATGCTTCCAAAAATAAACGGGGTCACTAATCTCATACCCGACATGGACTGGTAACCGGGCGAGAGGTCGTGGTTCGTCATATGATTAAGCAGACTTTCTTCTACCCCGTGATAATCTACTGCCCAATCACATGCGAACGCAAAGCAAAATTTATGCGTCCCTGCGAAGCAAAGTGCCTATAAATACGTTGTTATAGTCACTTTTCTGCGAAGTAAGGTTGTGAATTTGGTAAGGTTTGTCTCATTGTGAATTTGGAGATTAGTGTTTTTTTTTCTGTTTGCAATCCTTCGCTATATTCACCAATGTTACATATCGTGTGTTGTACTTTGCTGATCTAAACGAAAATTTCACCTTATATCCCATCCATGATATTTCAAAAGCAACTTTAACTCTCTATTTTTCTATTTGATTACTACAGTATTAATAAATTCTCATATTTAAAGTGTCATGTGTTGTCGTGTTATAAAATGTTACATTCTTCACTTTATAAAGTTAATATGCCAAGTTAATAGCTCATTTCCCAAATAATTTGTATCTGAGTGCATGAGCTTCAATCTATTTTTGAAATTTAATTGATAATGAAAAATGGTGATTACATGTAAATATTGTATATACTAAACGAAAATGAGTGGTATTGATATATTGACATTAATTCTGTTATTTATTTTCATGCTTATTGAATTGGGTGGCAACTGACTTCGCACGTAACCGCTGGTCGGTTACGGCTTCCTCCACCACCAAGTCCATGCTTCCGAAAACAAACAATACAGTAAAACTAATCCCATACCCGACTTGGAATGGTAACCGGACGAGAGGCCGTGGTTCGCCATATGGATAAGCCGTCTTATCGGCTTTCCTCTCCCCCGGGATAAATATGTAAATCCTATGCTATCCTATGACCCCAAAGGTCGTATCGTTGCTTCCCAGTCATATACCGAAAACATCTGTTTATTTGATATTTATATATGTATGTATATATTGTTTTCTTGGTTTGATAAAACGAAACAAGAGAGCTACGCACAAATATATGGACACGTTAGACCAGAGCGAATCAGTCTTTACCGGTACCTTTGACGCTACCGGTATCCTCAAAAAAGTTTTGAATTTCCAATAGCAAGAATTTTGCAGAATCAAAACGTACAGCCAGTCATGACACTGACTAAAATCCGTGTTCCCATGGATAAAAAATAATACAGCAAAATTTTAGACGAAATATCAAATTTCATAGAATCAATGACATTAAACAACATGATAGGCAACTCTGACGTCACTCCATAAGACTACAGGCGAAACATTGTATTTCATGATACGCTCCAATGCACATATTTCTCGTCGCCTTTCGCGTCCGTTTTCCGCTCGCTTTTGCTACTCGGCGTCTTTTTTACGTGTAGTACCTGCCTTTTTGCGCCTGTAACGAAACAAAATAATCTCTATATCTAAGAAGTTTTGCTTACTTGGAAAGCTGGAATAACAGGCAAGCTGTAAAGAGCAATTCTGGACATCATAGACTTTTTTTTTATCAGAGAAGATTACAAACGCGATAGCGGAAAGATTTGTGTGGAACATTTTGCAGATAATGACAAAGTTCAAAGTTAGTAATTTTAATGTTTGCGCTTAATCATTGAAATTTCATTTAAAGAGGGTGTCATACAAAACTGTGCTGCGATACAATTCCATAACACAAAGTTTGCACCTATCGAACTTGCTTTTGTAGGTGAATTTATTAGACATATTACATATTCAGTTAATCGTAGGTAACATTGCTGGTACATAATGCATCGTAGATAGGTTTGTTTAAATTTAGGAATTTAGCTCATAGCCCACTAATTAATATTATCTTCTATGCAGGAGGTTGCAGGGCTGAATTCAACTTGCAGCCTTACCGATCACCTGACGATGCTCATTTAGTTTGGCTCGAGCAAGTCTTCTTGAAATGCTTGTGTGGATGGAAACTACCTATATTTTTTGCCTTCCTCCGATTTTAGACAAATTTATTCTGAGGGATTTCGCATATAATTCTCACTGATTGTTGGCTGTTTATAATTCCTATTGATTGTGAATTCTGATTATAACAATGAGTTGAAAATTTTTTTACCTAATTTACTGGCACCTTTTTCTTGTCAATACTCCAAGCTGAGGTAATAAACATGACAATACATTTATGTCATCTGGAAGCAAAATATGCACACTAATTAATAGTTTGGCACATTGAGATAATACATCATGACAGAAAATACAAGTTAAAGATATGTATGACCATCACATGGTAATTAAAATTAAAAAAAATTAATAGGGGCTGTGGAGTATGGAAAGTTCAAGACAAAGAAAAGAACAAATGTTCATAGCTCATGAACTCTCAATTTTGCCTCCATTGCTTTGTGAAGGCCAATATATTTCGAGTGGCTGAATTGGTTTACCTTTATGATAGCAACGATTTTGTATTTAATATAGCGAGATTATTTCAATTTAATTGAAGTGATATAATTTCCCAAAGCAATGCTTGAATCGTCTAGAATAGATCAGTGGTGTCAAACTCATGGGTTTTCGAGAGCCGCATTGCATTTTGAAAATTGTAAAAAGAGCCGCAAACAGTTTTTGATAATGTATACTTAAAAGAT